GCTGCTGCCGGAGTGCTGACCCCTTGCTTAGGAGGAAGTGGGGGTGGAGAGAAGCATCTGGGGCTGCCCAGTTAATTCTGACAACAAAAACGTCACTTCAGACTGAGAAGCTGCAGAGGTGAACCAAGGAGAGGCCTGCCTTAGGCTGGAGGGGAGGGCAGGCCTCTCAGCGGAAGGGCCATGGCAGCAGGGACGGAGGATGAGGAAGGAGGCGGCAAGGGGTGTGGGCAGAGTCACAGCATGTGCAAAGGCCCTGGGGTTGAGGGCAACGCTGAGAGGCTCTATGACAGGACAGGCTGCTTGGAGCTTGGGGCACGAGGTCTGCCGCTGAGGGGTCATCTGTAGCCAGGGTGTGGGGACCTTGTGGATCATAACAAGGAGCGTGGCCTCACCTAGGGCCACGGAGCCATTGTTTGCTTCCAGTCACAATATTATATTTTGAACCAAAAATACTAAAAAAAATTTGAACTGCATTAACAGCATCAAAGAAAAGTGAACGGCAACACAGTAGAAGCTCAGCATGGGGTGATAGTAACAGGGGTGCCAGGGGGTGTTAGGAGGTGGGTGTGATCAGCTCTGCAGCCGGGGGAGGGGAGCGGGGCAGAGGCAGGGTGGCCGGGGAGAGAGTGGCAGCAGGTCCCGGTGGAGAGCTGGGGCCCAGGGGTGCTGGCACTGGGGACGGGAGAAGCAGCACAGTGTGGCTGGGAGAGGGGAGGGGAGTAGGGGCCTGAGGGTGCTAGGCCGGCTGGGCTTTGTCAGGCGCCTGTCTGGGCTCTGACACTGTGCAGTGGGGACACGGTGGGCCGCACGGGCCTGTGGGAATCAGGAAGCGGTGCCCTCGGTGGAGGGGGCGGGTGAACCAAAGAAGCTCCTGCCCCCAAACCACAGGAGGTGCGGCCCAGAGCACACGGCTCGAGGGCTGCGGTTCCGCTCCATCGCCCCTTCGCCCTGGCTGTGGCGAGAGCAAACCACACGGCTGCTCCCGTGGCCGGCCGGCCTGGGTCTGAGGACAAGCAGCCGCGGGGAGCATCTGTCGGAGGAAAACCAATCCTCGAGTGGGATTTCCTGCGTGGACAGACAGGAAAGCACAAGCCGACCTCTGCCCTCCCCCACGCCCCACCCCTGCTACCCTGGCAGGTGCCTCCCGGGCCACATTTCATCCTGGACTGACACTGTCCGAGCCTGGCCTTGGGGGAGGCTGGCGGCCAGAGGCCTGGCCAGGACGGGGGGTGGCGGGGCCAGCACCACAGAGGTGGTGGGGGCTGGACTTGCTCCGGGCCGGCCAGCCCCGGGCCACGGCTCCCCGTCACCGGCGTGCTGGGGGGAGGGCGCCTCCGAATGAGGCCTCCGTCCAGCACGATGTGCACCTTCAGTGACGCCGCCCGCAGAGCACCCGCCCGGGAAGGTCTCAGTGTTTGGTGGCTTCATTCGTTGTGTTGTTATGATCACAAATATGGCTCCACAGGCGGTCCCTTCCGCAGGGGCTGGGCGCCTGCGAGTGGTGTCATCAATGCCACACGTGTCTGGCCATGCAGACAGCCCCAGGCTCACGGGGACACGTGGCCCATTGGGCACAGGCCCCACCTGCCTCCTCCAGACCCCACCTGGGCCTGTGGCCTGACTCGATGCCGGGCTTGGGTCCCAGGGCCCGGGAGAGCCCTCTGCATGCCCGGTGGCTGGGGCCTGACTCCCAGGGGCACAGTCCTACCTACTCTGGGCCCCACAGTGTCACCTCCCCCCCTCCTGCTCCCCCATTCATCACCTGCCTCGGTCTCAGGGGTGCAGGCTCAGGGGCATGTGGGCTGTGAAGGCAGGGCCAGCGAGGGAAGCAGGCCAGTGTGACAAGTCGGGGCTGGTGGGGACTGCGGTGGTCTGGGCTCAGGGATGTGGGACTCGAGCTGCCAGACCCTCCAGTTTCTCCAGAGACGTGGGGAGGCGGCGGGGGGTGGACCACACAGACCAGCCCGGCCTGCGAAGGCGGAGCCACCAGACTGTGGCCTGCCCTTCATCAGAGGCTGGATGGGGCGCAGCCTCAGAAAGGGACCATCCTGGCCCAAGGAGGGATGGAGGTGAGGCCTGGGGAGGGGTGTGGGCGGCTGCCACCCGTCGGGCTGCAGAAACAGCTTGGCAGGCTCTGCTCCTCTGAGCTCAGGGAGCCAGTGCAGAAACCGTCTGGATCAGACAGACAGACAGAAGCAGGCCCTTCACACTGCTGGACAGAGAAAGCAGGCCCCCAAGGGCACAGAGCCTGGGAGAGGGTCCTCTGGGAACCCACGCCTGCTCTTCCTTGACCTCTTGTCCGCTGTGGCTGGTTCATCCCCAGGAATCCACGCTGGGCTCGCTGGCACCCAGGGCCCGGCGGCCGCAGCTTTGGGCTAATTTACACGGTGCTTATGGCTGGGGCGGGATGCAGGTGCGGAGGGGGAGCTCGGCCTCCCACCAGGGTGAAGGTGGGCCTGCCACCTCGAGCACGTGCAGGTCACCCACTGACCCCGCCTCTCTGGGGCTGGGGGGCAGGGCAAGGGTCCAGGAATGATCTTCCTCCTCTCACCCCCTGGAGAGCCAAGGAGGGTGAGCCACAGGCGGGGGCTGCGGCCTCTGGGGCCAGGGACGAGGGCAGGTGGGAGCTGGGTGGCGGGTGCTGCACAGGACTTGCCACCAGTTTTAGGGGGCACTCGGTGTTGGTTTGCTGGGTTAAGTTGAGCCAACATTTAAAAGTCAGATTTCACACTAAAAAGAAATAAAACACCTGAGTTTCTGGCTTCTCTCAAAAACCTCGAAGGCCCAGCGTCGCTGGGCCATTGGTGTGCACTGCCCTGCGGACCAGGCCTCCCAGCCAGCTCTGCTCCCTGACGGCCCGGGCCAAGGCACTGGCTGCGAGACTTACTGTGGGGGCGCCTCACTCGCCTCCCTCCCCACAGGGAGGGTCTCCCACATACACAGCCCCGGAGGAAGGAAGGGGGCTCTCCCACGCCAGGTCTGGGCAGAGCAGGCCCCGCTGTCGCCCTAGGAGCTCAGAGGGCCAATGGGCAGGAGCGGCTGCAGAGCCCCTGCCATTGTCTGTCCATGGGGTGGGACGGACAGAGGGACTCCCCTCACCCTGGCACAGGGAGCGAGGTGGGCTTCCTGAGGGCCTCTTACCCTCGCCAGGCAATTGCTGGCACCCATGCCGCAGTGCAGACGCCCACGCTCACCGGAGCCTTCTTCCCACTCAAGCGCTGCGCTATCCAATGCCGAGAGCTGCCACAGGCAGGGGAGTGGAGCCCCAAGTGGGAGGCCAAGAAGCAGCTCTGGTGTGGACTTCCAGCACCCGCGCTGAGGGCGACTCCGCGCCAGAGGCCGGGCTTCACCGCCGCCTCGCTCTCCCCTGGCTGTCTCGGGATTTGGGCCGGGACTAGTCGCCTCAAGGCTGTGCCTCTGCGCTTCAGGTTCGTCTATAAAAGGAGGGCCCGGCAGTGCCCGCCAGGGGGCTGCTCCATGAGGTAGACGGTTAGAGCCAGGCCCGGAATACCGCTCCACACGCATGGGCTCCCGTCACCACATATGCATGGGCTTTTCTCACCCAGCGCCAGGCCCAGGACCCCCGCTCACAGGCGGGGAAAGGACGCTCAGAGAGGGACATGCCCGCGCCACGGGCCAGCCTTCCGTGGACTCTGGCTCCCTCCTGGAGGCAGCATGGGCCACCTCCGACCCCAAGCCCAGTGTGCCAACGTGTTCTTAATAACATCTCTTATTGATTTTGCAAGAGAAAAAAATAGAAATTTATTTTAGAGCTAATGCCTGTCACAGCGGTTCTTTCCTCCGAAATTGCATGGTGCACACAATTACTATAAACATCAGCTGAGACCCAGGGCGAGTGCCGGGTCTGGCCATGTTCCCGGGAATCTGACCTGTGCCCGTGCCTCGGGCGCGGACGGACGGCGGCTCCCTGGAAAGGCCTGGCTTGTCTCGGGCACTGAGAGCTGGACTGATCAGCCCCAGTGGCGTCAGCTCTCCTGGGAGCCGGGTCCCAGAGGCGCGCCATGTCTGGGAGGTGAGCAGAGAGGCGGGGGCTTGGAAGCTACAGAAATGATGGATTCTCTTGGGGGGAAACAAGTCTTTATCTTCACGTGGACCCCGCGCTCCGAATGAAAAGCGCGTTTGCACAGCTGCCCGAGGAGGCCGCGAAGCTCGGAAAGTATCTGCAGGCTCTCGGTTGCATAGGAACGCACTCAGTACAGTAACACGGGCCGGGCCGGGCGCCAGGAAAACAACGGATTAATATTGGGAACGAGAAATTACCCACCACTGGGAAAGCAATTAGGTCCCTGATCCGAGCTCGTTACATAGATGGAAATAGATGTGCTCCGGGCTCCGCTCGGCGGGGTGCAAGGCACGTCTCCAACTTGCTGGAAGCCGCTGGAAGAGGGAGGAGCGTGGGGGCCTGGGCAGCGAGAACCCCACTCCTGGCTCTGGGGGGGGCCATGGACCAAAGAACCAGCGAGAGAAGCCTGCAGACTCCAGCCGGGCAGGGAGCAGTGAGGCCTCTCTGGAGCTCACGGGGAAGGTGAGCCTCTGGGGCTGCGGGCGGGGCCAGCCCTGGTACTTGGCCCCCTGCCTTCCAGCCAGAGGCTTCTGGATGGGCCCCCGCTGGCCCCTGGGTCCGCAGCTGCCCGCCTGCCGGTCCTATCTGGGCAGGACGAGGGCCCGGCATGCCAGGTGGGCCCACTCCCTTCCTTTCCTCAGCGACACGGGCCTTTGGCCAGCCCCTTCCAGCTCGCCCAGGGGGCAGCCTGCAGAAGCAGCTCCTCTGAGGGATCTGTCCTCTCCCGCGGGCCCTGGCGGGACGAGTGAGGGTGGCAGCAGTCCTGGCTGGACATGAGGGTCCAGGGAAGAGTCCACCCTCCCAGGCAGCTCTGCCAGCCCCCAAAGGAGGCAGGGATGTGCCTGGGGAGGGGCTGCTGGTGGAGCCCCCGGGCACACCTCTGGAGCGCTGGTATCTGAGGCCTGGGCCCTGTGCTGTGCTCAGCCCGGCTCCAGGCTGGATGGAGGCCTCCCCAGCCCACCTCTCTGTCCCGGCCCAGCCAGACCTGGCTCAGGGAACCAGGACGGGGCTGAGTGGTGCTGCCTGTTTTGCTGGATCTTATGGGAGAGCGGAAGGCCCTGACCCTGCAGCAGCCCTGCCTCCTCCGCCTGTCGCCCGTCTTTTCCAGGCCCTCCCCCATCGAGTCCCTTCTCCTCAGCGGCTCCCTCCGCGCTGCAGCTCTCTTCCAGCGCTGGGGTCTGGGCTGCACTGAGGACGGAGGGGGACATGGTGCTGAGCAGGGCCAGTGAGGGAGCCCACGAGGGCTGAGGACCAGCGCTCCCTCCTTCCTTTCAGTACCGCCGCCATCTTGCTGTCTCCTCGCTCAGGCAGGTTTTGGGGCGTAAGGCTGTGGAGGGAGAGCACCGGGGGGTCAGGGTACCCAGCTCCCCCCGAGGGCTGCCCCACGCGCTCAGGCTGAAATCTGAACTGCCTGCGTTTCCACCCAGGGCCCGTGGAGACGTGGGCCCTCCTGAGCTCCCAGCAGCCTCGAGCCGGCACTCCTGCACACTGACCCCCACTGGACAGGCTGGCCACCCCTCCAGGCTCCACCCTGCTGTTCCCTCTTCCTGGCCAACCCTGCATCTTTCAGGGTGCAGCTCAAACACCACCTCCTCTGAGAAGCCCTCGCCCCGTGTATCCCCAGGGGCTCGCCATGGCCCAGGGCGACCCCTTCGAGAATGCGCTTCTGCCCTTCACGGCCTTGCCCTCTGCACGCGAGGCCTGGGTCCGGGAAGCAGTGCCAGCCACGAGGGGCCTGCAGGAGGAAGGCGCATGGGGCTCGGCCCCGCCTCCTCAGCCCCTCCAGCCCCCAGCCAGGCTGCTGGGTGGGGAAGGAGGTCTGAGGGCCGGCAGGCGCCAGAGGGTGTGAGGCCGGCGACTCGTCCCTATTCAGCCCAGACTCCCGAGGGGCTCAGGCAGAGAACCGAGCGGACCTGGGTCGACGATGCTCTGCTTCTTCTTGGCGTTGGTTACAATCTGGTTCTCGTTCATCATCTGGACGTCCTGGTCCTCCACGTGGCCGCTGCAGAGGGAAGGCGGAGACGGTCAGGCCAGCCGTCCGGCCCTGTTCTCAGCAGGGCTGGCGGGGCTGCGGGCGGCTCGCCCACCTGATGGCGGTGTGTTTCTCCTGGTGGTGGATGTCCATGTCCTGGGTGAAGAGGATGGTGTGGTAGGGCACCGTGGGCTCACACGTGGGCAGGATGCCCCCCACCAGGTGGCCCACCATGGCCAGGATCCCGTTGTACACGAGCAAGTCGTCCACCAGGAGCTGAACAGAACAGAGGGGGGGCTGGCGGCACGGCTGGCAGGGCCCTCCCACGTGTGACTGGGCGAAGTGCGTGTCTGCACAGACCTGCCTGCTGTGCCGTGGGGAAGGCACAGCCGCCAGCCGCCGGCTGCCGAGGAGCCGAGGCTCAGGGGCTGAGCGCCTTAGCACGAGGCCGCGCTGGGCAGCCCCAGGCCCACTTTCCCCAACCCAGGCCCCCGGCACCGAGAGCTCCCTAGGTCAGTCCGACTGGGGAAGAGGAGAGGAGAGAAAAGCCACTCTCTGTGTTCAGGGTGAGGATCCCAGCCCCTGGGAGGGGGTTTCGGTCACGGTTGGCTGGGAAGCCTCCCTGCACGGAGGACCTGGCATCGTGTCCAAGGCTGCACCAGAGAGGAGCCAACTGAACCGCATCCCACGACAGCTGCCGGCGGCCTAATCACCAGCGAGCACAATTCTCTCAAAACCCCGCCAGTGAGCACTCACGCCAAACTCCTTCACCCCCCGATGGGGCGTCTTCGCGTAATTCCACAGTTTGATCATCGACACGGTGGTAGGCAGATCGAAAATCACATAGACCCGGTTCACCTGTCAGGGAGGAGAGCCATTAACAGGCTTGTTTGCAAGCAGAGGCTCTGGGCTGGGTGGGGGCGCCTGGGCTGCTCGGCCATGGCGCACGGGTTCCCACGGCCTTTCATCTCCTCGAAGCCCATCGAGAGTCAGGTCACGTGTGGCTGCGTTTGCAACAAAACGCTGAGCTGGCTCGTGGAGGCCTGCTTTCCTGGGCTGGCGTGGCCCCCAGTTAAATACCGCAGAGAACTGGGCACCCTTCCCTTGCCCGCAGGTCAGGCCAGATACAGTCTGGGGCAACGAGGCCAAGGCACAGGCCTCGACCCGAGTGAGGAGCACTGCCCGGCCATCAGCACAGCCCTGACCGTTCGTCCTTCCCCGATTGTGAATGAAAAGCACAGCGGACAGGCCCTGAGGCACCACTGGGTGGTTTTCAGTACCAGCGTCTTTGAGTCTCTGTGGCGAGTGGGGAGGGGGCAGCTCAGATCAGCGGCAGAATCAGCTAGTAAAGTGGCGCCCAATCGCCTCCCCTCCTCCCTTCCGAACAGACTCTCAAATACCAGGGGCTCCTTGGAAGAGAGAATAAAGCAACGCGCACCCAGCGGGCCACGGGCTCAGGCTGGTTTGGCCCTGTGCTCAGCCTGTGGCCATCCTCAGAGTGGAGGTGAAAGACGAGGGCGCGTGCACTGGTCACGCTCAAACTGGCAGGAGGCTGGGCTGCCTGGGGCACGACCTTGTGGCCGGGTCTAAGGGTGATGGTCTCTGCACTCCCCTTTGCAATGTGGGGCTGGGGCTAGGGCGCTGGCCTCCACTCAAGGGAAGCCGATGGACCCTTGATGGTGGGGGCGCAATTTGGGGGAAGGATCTTTGGAAAACCTCCCTCCCAGAACTGAGAGAAAAATGTACCCCCTTATCCTCCTGCCCAACTCCAGGGAGTGGAAAGGGGGACGTGTCAGGAGTCACAGGGACACGCAGACACTGCTACACATCACTGCCCCGGCATCGGGCCCTGCGGCTGAGGCTGGTGGGTGCTAAACCCACCTGTCCCATCTCCTGGCTGCTCTCCTCCCTCCCTCCCAGCACCATCCAGGCCCCCGTGGGCAAAGCCCACCCCAGGCTCTCCGTCAGGCATGGGAGCAAAAAGGTCAGGAGGCTGGGGATGAACGTGGCCTGGAAGGAAGACGTGTCCCTGAGCCCAGGGACAGGAAGCCTCCATCCACCCAGGGCTGAGAGCCTCCAGAACCTACCAGGCCAGGCAGGATGGGGGCCAGCCACATGTGCCGGCCGTCACTGGTGTCGTTCACTTGGTCGATGAGCTTGTCAGGGGTCCGCACGTCCCCACACACGCCCTCCAGGGAGTTCACGCTGTCGGGGAAGGCAGCGATGTCTGAGGAGGCCTCTAAGCTGCCATAACTCGAAGAAATGTACTCGGACCTGCACCACCCGCACGCGCGGCCGCCAGCCTCCATCACACTGTGGGCTCGGGGACCGGCCTGGCAGGCAGACCAGGACAGGTTCTGGGGAGATGCGAGCCTGAGGCTGAGGGGAGCGGGGCGGAGTGAGGATGGGACGCCCAGTTTCACCAACTGCTAGAGGAAGGAACAAGCTACGTGGCTGCCACTCTGGAGAGTGGAGGGCAAACTCTGCAAAGGGTTTGTCTTGCAGGGCGACGGGCCACGGCTGTGCGGACCGTGCAAGGCTGGAAGGACTGGAGGCGCCTGGCTCGGCGGCAGCCGCTCCCTGACGGGCATCAACTTGGGGCCGGAGAACCTGATTCCAGCTCTGGCTCTGCCCTTCTGACCCAAGGTCCTGGGCAAGTCACGGATGTCTCTGGGCTGGTTCCTCCTCTATAAAATGGGTATAACCTTCTCCAAGTCCCAGAACTGATGCGAGGATCTGAGAGACACGCCCCATGGAACCTAATGATCAAAGCCAGCAAGAATCACTTATCTCAGGTGAGGAGGATGGTGACACCAGGGAAGGAGAAAAGGATGCCACTGGAACCCAGGGGCCCCAGAGATGCAAGGCAGGCCCCTAACTGGGGGGTGTTGGGATCACGGGTCAAAAGCCCAGAGGGGCCAGGCGGGTTCCATCAGAGAGACATGGCAGCTCAGTATCAAGTGCATGGTCTCTGGAATCAGACTCCCAGCTCCACCATGCACTGGCTGTGTGACCCTGGGCAAGTTACCCAACCTCTCTGTGTCTCAGTTCCTCATCTGTAAAATGGGAACAACAACACTCACTTCACAAGATTGTTGTGAGGGCAAATGAGATACCAAGCGGCAAGCCCTGGCACAGTGCCTGGCACAGAGGAGCCCTCAGTAAATGCTAACATTGGGTTTGGGGGCCTGGTAGATAACAATAAGGACGGAGGGCTGAGATCAACCAGAAGGACGTGCCTGGGGGAACGGTAGCAGACATTCGTGTCCAGCCCCCTTCACTGTTCGTGACTGTGGCCTGGCACTGCCGATTTCTCAAGAAGAGCTAAAGATCGGGATTTCCATATGAAAACTAATTTTTTAAAAATACTAATGTAAAATAGTGAAAAACTCATTGGGTAAATCCTTGTGCGGCATTCCATGATCACAGGGTTCCAGGGTCAATACATTCAGGACACACCGAGTTGAGCCCCGTGTGACAGGTCGCTCCCAACAGGCCTTGTCAGAGCCTTTAGAACTCCGAGGGGCCTGCAGCTGGTGGCCCCGCCCCATTCCCACCACCGACCCTGTGCTGTGGAACTCCTGCTGCGGGGCCTGGTCAGGCATGGCTGGAGCTGCTCGCTGCTCTGCCCACCCCCACGGGTCAGCACCTGACTGCAGGCCGAGCCCACAGGCACGTTTATTCCCAGGTCCGGTTCCTGCAGCGACACTTCCCTCCACAGTCAGGGCTTCTGCTCCTCCCGCCCTCCACGCCCTCCTCGCTCCCTGCAGTTGGGCGGCGCCCCGCCTGCCCAGAAAGGATACTGTTTTCCGACAGAGGGATCTTCTCTCCCCGCTCATCGTACAGCTCGAGGCCGGTGAGGCCGATGTAATAGGGGTCACCCCAACTGGTCAGGAGCTGAAACTGAAAAATGACTGGGGCACGCTATTAAGGAAAAACAGGCTTGATTTCACAAGATCAAAGGAAAACAATGACAAAGATAACATAGGGATATAATGTTTTGGTTTATACAGATGAACAAGAGCAAAAAAATGATTTTTTCTCTCACTGAAACTGAATCCTGGCAAACTGTATGTGTATCAAGATTCTTTCATGTGAACTGATGTGTGAGTGTGTGTGTGTGTGTGAGCGTGTGTGTGTGTGAAGTGTGTGTGTGTGTGTGTGTGTGAGTGTGTGTGTGTGTGTGAGTGTGTGTGAGTGTGTGTGTGTGAGTGTGTGAGTGTGTGTGTGTGAGTGTGTGTGTGTGAGTGTGTGAGTGTGAAGTGTGAGTGTGTGTGTGTGTGTGTGAGTGTGTGAAGTGTGTGTGTGTGTGAGTGTGTGTGTGTGTGTGTGTGTGTGAGTGTGTGTGTGAATTAAAACCTTTCTCCAGGCCCAGGAGATGAGGAGCAGGAGGGGACAGTGCTCTCCAGGGAGCTGGGAGGGTGGGGACACATTTGTGTCACAAACTCATTATATGCTGAACAAACTGACCAGGCCTCACACTGCCTCATGCCTCAGTTTCCCTGACTGCAAAGTGCCAAGAACAGAGAACCTGTTCCCTCCCGTCCGTTCAAGGACGCGGGCTGTCCCGGGGAGGAGGGCACATGAGCTTTACAGAGGATGGGCCGTGGCAGGGTGTGTCCTTCCCCCGGCTGCAGGCCTGGCCCCCAGGCCCAGGGTGTGCGGAGGGCGGGAGAAGGATACAGCCGCAGGGCATCAGCGGGGCCTCGTAGTCCATGCTCGCCCGCTCCAGGCTTTTCGTGTTGAGCCTAAGGAAACACAAGATAGCAGAACACAGGGCTCGAGTGGCTGGTCAGCGATTCCCAGTCATAGACTCTGAAGACAGACAGCGGTAGCATTCGGGAGGGGGGGGGGGCTCCCGTTCTACTGGGGAGCTCGGCCGTAGCCAACTTGGCACAGGCCTGACTGACATGGACTCTTCTAAGCCTTAAACTACCCGAGTGGCGGTACTCACATCCCCAGTGTGAATGAGGAAAGCGGAGCTCAGAGCAGTGAAACCTCCTGCTCAAGCCCACACAGCTGGCAGGAGGCAGAACTGGGGTGTGACCCGAGGCTGCCCAGTTCCAGAGTTCTCCTAACCACCCACCTACTGCCCCTTGTGCTGAGAGCTCGGCGAGGCACCCGACGGGCCACAGGGTGGAGAGGGGGACGCGGGCGGGAAGGCGATGACTGAGCTAAGGAGGAGGAAGCCATGGGAAGAGTCAGAGCCGTGCCTTCCCAGCACAGGGGCAACAAGAACAAAGGCCCTTAGGTGGAAAGGGGCTGGGGGGGTGCTGTTTGCCACAGGAAGCAGCCGGGGCGGGGTAGCTGCAGTGGAGAGTGGGGGCAGGAGGGCAGGGAGAGGAGGCCGGAAGGTGGGCCGCACCCTGAAGGCTTTGGCTTCTTGATCCTGAGCAAGTGGCTTCACTAGCTGGGCCTCAGTTCCCACATCTGTAAAATGGGCAGAATCGTCTCTACCTGAATGAACGTGAAGCATGCGGCACAGAGCAGGTGCTCTGGAGGGAGAGCCCTCTCTTCCGCCATGTCCTCCCCACGGGGCTTCTCTCCCTGGTCTCAGCCAGTGCACTCCGCCTGGCCTGGTTTCCCTCATTTCAAGGGCAATGTTATCATTAGTGACTGTTCCCAGTGACTGGCCCAAGAGGTGGTCCCAGCTACCGTGCAGGGAAACTCATTTTGTTTCGAGAACTTGGCCCCTGGCATTGGAACATCAGGGGGTTTAAGTGAGTGGCCTTAATGTGGCATTTACAAATGGTTATGAACTCAATGCAGCTGAGAATGGGGCCAAGAAATCCCAGTGAATCCATGAAATGTTAGGCATTGTTTTTCTCTGAATCTTTCTAAGTCAGGAACTGAGAGGCCAGAGCAGGGAGGCCTTCCCTGAACCAGCCAGCGGGCATTTCTGGAGCCAGGCGGCTGGGATGCTCTTTTCCCAGCAGGAAGCCTAACGAAGCATTTAAAGTCGCCAGCCCTCCAGCCTGCGAGAAACCCAGACACCAGACAAGGTGGGTACATCCCACAGGCTCCCGGGGAGGCTTGGCTGAGCTTTAGAAACAGCCAAGTTGAAAAGCAATGCGTTTGATCACCATTTCAAACCGCTTTAGGCGGACACTTCAGAGCGCAGGCAGAGCCCGCGGCGGAGGGAGGGTGTGCGGCGCGCTCCTCACCTCTGGGCCGGCGGGGGCCGGAGCCGAGCCTGCAGGTAGTCCACAAAGAGGATTTCTTGAGCAAAATCAAAGTGGCAGTTGCCGGGCCCCTTGCGGATGAGAAAGCCCTCGGGAGGGGAGACGCACAGGCCGTCCAGGGAGACGTGGGCGATTTTGGCCTAGAACACAAAGCAAGGCCGTGCCTGCAGGGCCAGCGAGGGGCAGCAGCGTGTGCTCTGTCCCCCACTCAGCTGCAGCTGGAGCTGCTGTTTGTGACTCAGAAAGAGCTTCCTCCCAGACCAGTCCACTCTCCAGTGGCATCCCTACTGTGCCCGGCTGTGCTGGGTGCTGGGCAGGCAGGAGACAAGGCAGGTGAGGCCCTGCCCCGGTGGACACGTCACCGTGGCCTGAGGTGGTACGAGATGGTGGTCAGGGCATGGACGCAGTGCTCTGCCATCCTTCCCCTGCCTCGATGTCCTTACCTGTTAAATGGGCTCAATAATGAGTTCACTTATGTAAAGTTTCCAGGACAGGACAGGCCTGGCACAAACACGCACTGCACTGCTCCTTCCGTCAGCCCTGGCGCACACCTCACCGCGGCCCCTAGCTGTCCTGCTAGGGCGGTGTCCTTGGTGGTTTGAGTCCGCTTTGGGGGCAGAGCCCCAAGTTGGACCATCTCTCCCTCTGCCCCAGGGCCTGGCACGCAATAGGAGCTTACTAAGAGCATGCTGAATCAGTTGGATTTGGGCCAACAGGTCCCCCTGTTCTCGGCCAGATTTTGCCAGCCAGGTGGCCGGGACCTAGCAATAAATCTCAATGCCCCAACGGCAGGGTGTGAGGTGGCTCAGCTCTGAGTGAGCAGAGGAGGTGATCAGCCAGCACCCGCCCTACAACCACACATTTTGGAATCCAGGCTCCATGGCACCTCACCCCACCTTCATGGTTAGCTACATGGGACCAGCTGCTGACCAAACTGGTGGAACTCCTCCCGGGAGCCCCTCCGCGCAGAGGGGCCGCCTGTGCTCCTGGAGCCCTTCGTCCATCAGCATTAAGGGAGCCCCATATGCAGTCAGTAGTCACAGGCACATAAACCTGCGAAGGGCAGGGTGGCGGCTTTGGCTGGATATGAGGGCCCAAAAGCTGTCACCCTATCTCCATCTGCTTTCTTCAAACCTGATTCCCACCCACCCCAGCGGGACCTGTGGCCCCGGCCTGCAAACAGCGCTCCCACCCCTGCCCTGGGCTGGTTCAGCCTAAGGGAACGGGAGCCACCAGCACCAGGCCTGGGTTAGCTGGCGCCTCGAAAGAGGAGGCCTCTCTTCTGCTGGGCTTGGCGCTTGCAAAAGCCTAGGGCTGCCAGGTGTGCCCCGTGGAGAAAGCCACCGAAAGCGAAGCTGGCCAGAGAGCAAAGCAGAGGCCCAGGACGTCCCTGCCCTCTTCCGGGGCCACCATCTCCCCCAGGAAGTGTCTCTGACTGCCCCAGGCACTGTCATTCCCGGGTGGGGGCGGGGGGTTCTTTTATCGCCTCCTCTTAGCTAAGGACACTAGAGTTCAGAGAGGCTAAGCATCTGCCCAAGGACTGGAGTGATCGAAGCCCCGGCACCAGGAGCCCAGGCCTGGCTCTAACCCCGCCAATGGCCCACAGCCAGGTGCCCAGGGGGGTAGCCATCCAGTTGTTTTTTTGGGAGGCACAGTTTCTTTTTTCTTTTTAAATATATCTTTATTGATTTCAGAGAGGAAGAAAGAGATAGAAACATCAACGATGAGAGAGAATCATTGATTGGCTGCCTCCTGCACACCCCCTACTGGGGACCAAGCCTGCAACCCAGGCATGTGCCCTTGACCAGAATTGAACCCAGGACCCTTCAGTCCGCAGGCCGATGCTCTAGCCTCTGAACCAAACTGGCTAGGGCTGGTGGACACTTTCCACTGCACTTGCCCCAGGATCTGCCCTCTCTGACGGGGCCCATCTCCTGCCTCCCACGGTGGCCATGTGGCACTGGCACCGAACATGGTGGGGGCAGACTGGGAAGCAGGGCTCTGGGCCCAACGTTCCCAGGACGTGACTCCAGGTCACAGAAGGTCAATGGCAAAGCCGGATTCACTCAAGAGAATGTAGAGACCCAGAGGCACGGGGTGAAGCACAAGAATGTGTTTTTTATCTGACTTTTAAACGTGCTGAACCTGGGAGCGCACCTACGCAGACGGGGCGGGCGGGGAGGGTTTGCAGCTGCTCCAGAGACAGCGCCGGGGGCTGGGCTGCCACCACTGCGGTGCCCCAGTCCTCCGGGCCCCCGGGTCCTGCCGAGAACTCTGCGGCATGCAGGACGTGGTGGGAGCCCAGACCCAGGCTCACAGGCCTCAGCCCAGTCCTGGCGTTGTGAACCTTCGCGTGGCAAAGGGTGATGACCACCCTCCCGGGGAGGTATCGTCCTCCTCGACACTTTACAGACGGGGACGCTGAGGGCCGGGAAAGCGGCCACTTTCGGAAGGTCCCAGGGGGTCAGGGTCAGAGTGGAGATTCAGACTCAGGGCCCGTGGCTTCGGCACCCGAGCTGCACGGCTGTATGATCTGGGGTGTGTAATCACCATGGCGTCCATAGCGTTTCCTGGTTCACACGGGTCAGAAGCCCGTGGGGGGCACGGCTGCTCTCCCCGCATGCGGCAGGGGCCCTGCAGCCCACAGGCGTGCGCTGTGCTCAGGACCCTGGACGAGCCATCGGACCTTTCTGCACCTCACTTTCCTGAAGGACGAGGGGAATGTGCCTGCCTCCAGAGCTGGGGACGAGCGTCCATGGCAGGATGAGTTCCCGAGCAGCCCTCGGCCAGGGCCTGGCCCACAGCGCCCGGGGAGCAGGGCACACTGACCACCAGCGTGAGGGCGGGGCCCGAGGACCCCAGAGCCCCCAGAACAGACAAGGCGCCCGTGTCCCGAGTCCGCCCAGGCTCTTTAGGCCGCGTCTGCTGTCTGCGGGAGGAGACCACAGCCTGCTCTCCCTGGCTGAAACCCCCATGGCCTTTTGGAAAGTTCTGGAGGATTTATGCTCCTCTCTGGCAGCCACGCCAGCCATTCATCAAGGCGCCGTTTCCTTGGCAGTGGGCTGAGCGCGGCCACCTGCCCCCCTTACCCCTCGATAGGTGTCCTCGGGAGATTTATTGTAGTTCCAGAAGCGCAGGCCCGCGATGCTCTCTGCTCTGTCGAAGCGGATCGTGACCACGTGGTCCAGCCCCGGCGAGAAGGGGATCAGCCACATATGCTCATCCTCCATCGTGATGTTGGCTCCATCGATTAACCTGCACGCAGCAGAGGGAGCGGTGAGGGGGGTGGCCAGCGCGGGGTCGACACCCTCTCACCGCCCACTGCACCCCTGCCCGCCAGGAGCCTGATTGGCTGGGGTGAATTCAGGGACGTGAGCCTCATTAATCAACAGGGAGGGGCCACCTCTCAACTGCGAAATGAGACAAAAGAAAACAGGAAGAGAAAGAACAGTTTGTGCTGTTTAAGGTGCGTGGAGCCATCCTCCAAGTTTTTTAAAAGGGGGCAGATGTGCCATTTTCCAGGACCCTCCAACCCCGTGACCCCAAATCTAGTCCACCTGTTGGAACAGCTGTCTGCACTAGACATGCGTGATAGTCTCATTATTTACATGAGAAAAGGAGAACCGAGGCCTCAGAGCAGGGGAAGGTTAAGTCACCTCTCGGCTGTTCAGTGCCCACCACGAGGCTGCGCAGCCACAGGGGGGAGGCAGGTGCAGCCACAGCGGGGAGGCGGTCTGCGGGCGGTGGGGCCCCACTCTTCCTGCTGGAAAATGAGGCCCAAGCCCAGGAGAGACAGCGCGAAGGGGCAGCATGGTGGCGGTGGCGCCAGAGGGGCGGAGGTGAACACTCCCTCTGTGAAGGCTGTATGGACTCGGGTGCGTTTGAAACAGTCTGTCCCATCTTCGTTGTGCTGGGAGGGACACGGAGCCCAGCGTGAACCTGGCAGCTCGGGGTGGGACAAGCTCAGGGCAGGTGTCTCGGGGGAGCTGTGACCCCCGTGTGGGCATCGCGGGGAGCTTCCCCGCTGGAGGAGCCCCAGCCCTCCGTGCTCCCCGCCGCTGCTCTGAGCTTGTCATCTTGTTCAGGTTGCTCCGTCCGGGCCAGTTTCCGGTTCTCCTGCTCTGACATCCTGCCTCATCCTCCTCAGCTCTGCCCGACTTCCCTGGACGCCCAGGCCCCGCCCTCCTCCTGTGGCTCTGGCCTGGGGACAGGGGCCTTCCTCTCACTTTCCTGGTGACTCTGAAGCTCTGCCCTGTCTCCTGTGTTGGATTGGATTGGATTGATCCTCACCTGAGGACATGCTTCTTGATTTTTCAGAGGAAGGGGAAGGAGGAGAGAGAAACATCAATCAGCTACCTTCCCATATGCTCCCCAACCAAGAACCAAACCTGCAACCTAGGTATGTGCCCTGACGGGGAATTGAACCCACAACCTTTTGGTGTATGAGACGACGCTCCAATCAACTGAGCCACCCAGCCAGGGCTGTTTCCTATATTTTAAAATAAACTTTTTTTTTCCTTTTCTACATTTAAAAATTTTAGATTTGGAATAAATCTTATAATCGAAGCGTTCATCCAAGGAGGTAATGTTCTTTGCTTTTTCTCTAAAAGGCGGTTATTAAATTGATGGATGGTGTGTCTTACAATTGCTGGCATCTTAAAACCGAGGAAATTCAGCGATTTAACAGTGGGGTGTTTGTGGAGTCACACTGACTGAGGACTACACCAGAGAACCTTCTATTTCCTTCCCAAAGCCATTCCCTTTCTGTCCTAGGCCCGTGGCTGCCTCCAGAGCAAGACTGCTGTCCAGTTCTGAGAGGAGAGAGAATTGCTGATGCGTTTACAACTGATGGGTGTGGGAGGCCCATAGACACCCTCAAGGATACCCAATGATCCCTCCCAGCTCTGCCCACCAAACGGCCTTGAACCAATGACCAACCCAGTAGCATGAGCATCCCTAGAGGCCAGATTATGGTCTCTAAACATCATTTTCCACTAAAGGAACTGGGGCTTTGTGGACAGTGGCTGAGTCCATATCTGGGACAAGAAACATACAAGATGAGTATACCTGAAACTTAGATAAGAAAAGAATTTTTAAAAGCAATACATAAAATGAGCCTGGAATGACCTGTTATGTCAGAAAGCAGGGAAGCTGCCAGAGACCACTCACTGTTTTAAAAAGGATCCAGGAGCCCAGCCGGCGTGGCCCAGTGCTTGAGCATCCACCTATGAACCAGGAGGTCACGGATCGATTCCCGGTCAGGGCACATGCCCGGGTTGCAGGCTCAATCAATCCCTAGTGTGGGGCATGCAGGAGGCACCGATCAATGTATCTTTCTCATCATTGATGTTTCTCTTTCTCTCTCTCTCTCTCTCTCTCTCTCTCTCTCTCTCTCTCTCTCTCTCTCCCTTCATTTCTGAAATCAATAAGATATATTTAAAAAAAGAAATAAAATAAAAAGGATCCAGGAGCTCCCAATGTCTAAGACAGGGGTGGTATGGCCCTGTCTCGGCATCAGGGTGAGTTAGTTAAACGTTTGACCAAATAGAGCAGTCTAATGTTTAAGTTGATAATTTGTATGGTCCACAAATGACATTATAAATATCCAAATGGCCCTTGGCAGAAAAAAGGTTCCCCACCTCAGGTGTAAGAGCATCTAATCCAGCATCAGTAGTATAAAAACTACAACAGATTGAAACCCTTCACAAACAGAACATTTAAGTCAGTGATTATGACAGCCAAGGCAAGCAAATGTGCCCTGGCCAGTGTGGCTCTGTGGTTAGAGGGTTGGACTGAGCACTGAGGGTCAGGTTCGATTCCTGGTCAAGGACATGTACCTGGGCTGCAAGTTCGATCCTAGGCCCCAAAGAGCGTGGGGAAGGCAAGCAATCAATGTGTCTTTCTCACATAACGCCTCTCTCTCTCTCTCTCTCTCTCTCTCTCTCTCTCTCTCTCTCTCTCTCTTTCTTCCTTCCTCTCCCTTCCTCCCTTCTTCCCTTCTACTCCTAAAAAATCAATGGAAATATATCCTTGGGTAAGGATTAACAAAAAATAAATAAGAATAAATAACTAAATGTATTAAAGGATGCTAGAGAAACAACTTGTTGTTTTGAAAACTAAGAAATAAAAGGAATCAAACATTTTTAGACTGCCTTTCCTGTTTGAATTATACCTCAGAGTAAACAAATAATTGAGGGAAAATTTCTCTTTATTGATGAAAAAAAGAAAGATAGCATCAGTGTATCACCTGCTTGCAACCCGAATAAATTAATGGACCTAGCCACTGAGCTTCACAACCACAGAAAGCCTGACAACCACGGAAGGGAATGAACAATGACATCCACACCCCCACAATCCAACCTCAGTCTGATCAGGCCTCTGGATCTAAAGAACATTTTATAGGAAACACAGGGCCAGGCAGGGGTGCGGCTGGGAGCCTCCAGCCATGGGATTCACTGTCCCTGTTCTATGATGAGGAAACCAGGCAGGGAAGACAGGATCAGTCCGTGCCTAAGTGCATGGGCACTGCTCTCCCATACCTGCACTCTAACCATGATTCGGCTGGTCTGAGTGACCTTCAGCCAGTTTTTAACCCCTCTCTCCCTCAGTTCACAGGGGTACCTATCATATTATTAAATGGATGGATATCTGTAACCTGCTTAGCACCTGGCATTTAACAATGGCTAAAAAAACATGGCAACTATAATTTCAGTTATTATTACTATTACTAGAGGCCTGGTGCATGAAATTCGTGCTGGGGGGGGGGGCGGTCCCTCAGCCCAGCCTGTGCCCTCTCACAGTCCGGGAGCCCTCAGGGGATGTCAGACTGATGGCTCAGAGGTGGGAGAGCTCCTGCCACCCCGCTGAGCTCGCCAGCCGTGAGCCCGGCTTCTGGCTGAGTGGTGCCCCCTCCCCGTGGGAACGCACTGACCATCAGGAGGCAGCTCCTGCATTGGGTGTCTGCACCCTGGTGGTCAGTGTGCATCATAGTGACTGGTCATTCCGCCATCAGGCCGAAACCGGCTCTCCAACATCCCCTGAGGAGTTCCGGATTGCGAGAGGGCGCAGGCCAGGCCAAGGGACCCCACCAGTGCACGTTCGGGACTGGGGAGGGACGTGGGAGGTTGGCCAGCCGGGGAGGGACTGTGGGAGGGCTTCAGGGAGTGTCCTGCCCGTCTCAGCAGGACCCCAGCAGCAAGCTAACCTATCGGTTGGAGCATCTGCCCCTGGTGGTCAGTGCACATCATAGCGACTCGTCGACCGGTCGACTGTCTGCCCCCTGGTGGTCAGTGCACATCATAGTGAGCAGTTGAGCGACCTTAGCATATCATTAGCATATTACGCTTTAATTGGTTCAATGGCCGACTGGATGACCAGGCAGTTACATATTAGGCTTTTATTATATAGGATTATTGAAGAGGTTAAGAAACTTACTAGCTGGCAAGGGGCAGAGCCAGGATTTGAACTCTCATCCCTCTGACTCCTGGACTCCTCTGTTTGCAGGGCCAGGCAGGGCAGCTGCCCTGAGGGGACAGTGCTCCTCGGCAGGTTAAGGGCCCCGTGGATCACGGCTGTATGTCAGGCTGTCCTCTTACTGACCTGACCTGACCTGGGTTTATGAAACCTGACAAACGCAGAGGAAAGTGCGGGGACCTCCTCGGCAGTCACCTTCCGTCTCAAGGAGGGGACAGCTGGCTCTCTGAGAGGCGAGGCCGCTCATGAGGACAGGCAGGGCCATCCCTGCAAAAGCTCCCCGAGCAGCCGCTGTGCTCGTGGCCGGAGCTAAGCTCTGCCTGGAAGCAGGAGAGCCGGCTTCGCACCCAGCCTGCACCCGCTGTGCGGTCCCGGGGCGCCCTCCCTTTCTGAGCCCTGGGTTCCTTAACTCTAAGATGAGGTGACCAGACCTTGGGGTGGCTGGGGATTGCTGTCTGACGTTGGAATCTCAGGTCTAAGATGCAGGACAGGCCCTGCTCCGGCTGCCATGAGTTAAGCTTCCTGCAGACACCTACTTGTCCAGGGTCCGGGAGTCATCCGTGTACTCAGGGAGGTCATTTAAGTCCCTGGGGGAGGCGGAGATCTGGTGCAGGCTGATGGGCAGGGCCTGGCCATCCTTGCCCACCACTTCCAAGCCCGTGAGTCCCAGGTAGTGCAGGTCCCCCCAGGAGGCAGTGAAATTCAGCTGAAGGCCTGCAACAGGAAGGAAAGTGGTGTGAAGGAGGAGCCCCACATGGAGAGGAGGAATGGTCCTTAGCGCCTGCCCTGGGCCAACTGGGAAACCCAGACACAAACGCAGTGCCCCCAGGCTCGCCCCGCCCCTTTCCTCAGGGCGCCTGGGGCTGGGACGCTGCTGACAGTTCACAAAATGTTTGCACGGTGAATGGACCAGTGCTGTTTATACCTGTGCAGTCCTGGTCCTTTCTCTACCCCTCAATCATGTCACCCCCTCGATGTTTAACAGCCTAGAGTGGCTTCCCATGATGCTTGGCCAACAGGCCCTGCCCCTCTGGCTTCTATTTCTCGAACCTCATCTTGCACCAGGAGTTCCTGGCTCCACTAAGATGGCATCCCGTCACTCATTTACTCTTCTCTCCCGCCAGGGCCGCTCGCTGCTCATGCTGCTCTCTCTCTGGAACGCACATGCCTGGCCCACCTGTGCTCGTCCGTCAGACCCCAGCTCACCTCCTCAGGGAAGCCCCTTCGACGACACTGACCCTCCGTTCACAGCTGCTGAGTCACTGTGAGCTTCCCCGTCCACGCCCTGGTCGCACTGCGATCTTGTGACCCCTTAGTTCAATATGCCAGACGGTTAACTCGAGGACAGAGACACCATCTGTTTGCTTTGTCCCCAAAGCCCGCCACAGTGCCATTCACCATAGAGTGATTAAACAAGTGTGAATGGGCAGCGACATCACTAAGCCACACACTGGGAATGGGTGTTTCATGCAAATGGGCTGCTATCATGAGGACTCAGGGTAAAGGAAGTGACCACTTCCACCCTTTGCCCGCCCCACCTGCTCCATTAGAGACCATGTAGATTTTACAAGGACCTTCTGGGCACCTGCGGCACAATGGCCGCGAATCGTCCACTTGCCCAGAAAGCTCCAAGCAAATGCACCTCTTGGCCGGGCCTGTCGGGCTTCTGGCTGGAACTTCCTTCCTTACTGGTCTCCCATGAGGGTGGGCCACGCCCGTGAGCTCTGCCACCTTGGGGGCCTTGGAGCCCACAGCAGCCTTTGGGTGGCTGTGCTCAAAAGATCCGCGCTCTCTGCAGCGTGTGCAGAACGCCAGCACTGCAGCGCCGGGGAGAACAGCCTGGCTATCACGGTCCCACCATCGGGCTCAGAGGAGGAGGTGGAGGCCAGGGAGGTCTCCGGACATCCCTGTGAGGCCCAGCCAGGCCACCTCCCTGGAGCTCAGCTCCTCTCCTACACCCGTCATTTCCAACGTGCCTTGTGTCACTCGGCCTCAGACCCTTCTGCTCGCCATGGGGCCAGGGCAACTGAGCATCTTGGGGTCAGTGAAGAAGACCTGTGACCAGCATGGTAGGGCACATGGCGGCTCTCACAGCACTGGCAGCCTGCAGAATGGCCACCACCCCCTCCCACCCGCCCCCGCCTCTGCAACGCTACTCGGCGCTTTCCCCAGCCAGAGGTGGAGTGTCTTCCGCTCCTTGAGCCTGGCCCGGTGATCGCTTTGGCCCGTGAGACAGAGCAGAGGTACTGCAGGCAGAGGCTGCAAAGCACACGCGCACTGGGGTTTGTCCTCCCTCCACACTTGGGGTCTGGACACAGGCAGGAGACAGATGAGCCCCGGCACCCCTCACTCTGGCCAACAGCCTCCCAACTGCAGGACACGAAGGCATCCCTGGATCATTCAGCTGCCAGCCCCTGCCAGCTGAGCAGGCTCATGAGCAGGCCCAGGAGATGCCGGCCACGCCAGCTCAGAGGAGAACTCCCAGCCACGCCACTGATAGGCTCCCCATCGAGTCTGTGCTCAGACGCCCTCTCCCCCGAGAGGCCCCCCAACTTGAGCCCAGAGAGCACCACGCCTTAACCAGCGGTTCTCTACCTGTGGGCCGCGACCCCTGAAAATACATCCTGCATATCAGATATTTACATTACAATTCATAATAGTAGCAAAATTACAGTTATGAAGTAGCAACGAAAATAATTTTATGGTTGGGGGTCACCACAACATGAGGAACCGTATTAAAGGGTCGCGGCGTTAGGAAGGTTGAGAACCACTGCTTCTGCTCCACCCTTTGTCACAGCACCTGTCCCTGCCTGACAGTCCCTTCCAGGGTTACTTGCTATTTGCTCTGATCAGCCTTCCCCACTAGGACGGAAGGCAGCTCCCTGCGGGCGGGAACGCCGTGGACGCTGTGCACTGTTGTGCCCCCAGAGCCTAGAACAGTATCTGAAAAACAGATGGTCAGTGGGGCCTTTTTCTTTTGAAATAAGTGCCTGACTGAAGAGCAGGTCTCAGTGGATACCTGCAGTAAGTGAGTCAACCTCAAATCATTGAGTTTCACCAAGTTCAGCGTTAATGATAAACAGATATTTACCGATCACTTACTATGTACCAAGTCCGGCCCCTGGAACCGGTAAACACAGAGCAACATCGCTGTAGGAGCTTCTACTGCAGTGAAGACACACAACAGACACCTAACAAACCAATAAATACGATCGTTCCTCAGAGTGCTGACCGCCGCGAGATAAATCAGAGAGCTGGGCTAGGCAGTGGCTGGGAAGGGGCGGGTGGTCAGGGAGGGCTTCTCTGAGGGGCGACGTTCGAGCTGAGGCCTGGGGACGAAGGAGGCTGCCATTCTTCAGCATGTCTGGAAGGACATTCCCAGTTGAGGACAGAAGGGCCACGGCCCTGGGATGGGAGCCACTCGGCCAGTGGTTGGAGCCAGGTGACCGAGGGAGAGGGAGGTGGAGGGAGCGACCTCAGAAGGTTGGGCAGGGCTGGCCACGCCATGGGGTCCGGGTTCCCCTCTGCACTGGGGAGCGGGGGAGGTCTGGGTTGAAGCAGGGGCGCCCACGTGATGTGATCTGCATCTCAGAACGTGACTCGGTTGGACCCTCTAGGACAGTGGTCGGCAAACTGTGGCTCGCGAGCCACATACGGCTCTTTGGCCCCTTGAGTGTGGCCACGAAGTTTCAATCGCACTGTACGTGCGCGCCCGCACGTGGTATTTTGTGGAAGAGCCACACTCAAGGGGCCGCGGTTTGCCGACCACTGCTCTAGGAGACCAGGGAGGAGGCTGCTGGATACGGATGCCCTGGACCAGGCGGTGAGTGGTGACAGCAGGGCACAGGGGACGGGTTCAGGTCTGCTTTGGATACAGCACTGCCAGATTCTCAGTGGCATGTAGGGAGTGGGGGGAACAGAAGATGCTTTTGACATGAGTTCCAGAGGGGCTGTGGGTATTGCTCCTGAGACGGAGGCGGCCTGAGGTGGAGGAGGGAGCAGGTTTGGGTGAGGGGATCAGTGCCAGGGACCAGTGCCAGGCCCTCTTGTGAAAACAAGACTTGGCATCCCAACTCGCCCTT